GAACTTTCCCCGTGACACCTAGCAAGGTAGGTAAATATTTCGTTTCTGTTGTGACTATTTTTCTTCTGTCTTATGGAGACAGTGTCCTTGTTGGACATTGATAGCAGAGCGTTGGTTACAATAGTGTGTTGAACAGGGTCCTATTCACGTTTCCCGGCTCATCTACACACTAGATGACCTTTCATTCATACTTTCTCAGTCTGTTCTATGTCAGAGGGGTGTCACGTTGTCTTGCCTCTAATTACATTAGCGCCGATGTCGCTTCACAGCTTTTAAGGACCCCAAAACACCTAGAACCGGCCCTAACCCAAATCTCCCTACCCACACCCTGGGCCTAGGTCACACTAGAGACTCTTTTCGAAAAAAAAAGCAGTACAATGTGACACCCCTCCGACGTAGACCAGACTAAGAAAGTATGTAGATGGGCCGGAAAACGTGAATAGGACATTGAACAGTGTTCTTTTAGTGTTCATCTTATTCATATGCTCGTATTTCAAAGTTTGTGCCATGTGACCTATAACTTGGTTGGCTTTAGCACATCTTTGCTGGATTTCTCTTCATTATCTGCTGCCTGTAATCAGTTATGTAACGTATGTCAAGACGCCATCATTACATTTGTCATATGTGCAAATTATGTTGACATTATATGTATGGTAAAAGTTGCGCATCGGCCATATGCTCCTAGACTCATATATGTTTTGACCTACTGGCACTAGGTAGGCGATGAGGTCAGTATCATGCTGGCCGCCTTCACTTCCAAGCACTTTACCAGTTATGAATTTTAGGCTGGGTCGACCTGAGGGCCTGGATGCGGATTCAACCCCAAGAACTTCGGGCCTGTAGGTAAGTGTCTAGCGCTATGCCACCACCGATTTTTTTATATATATATATATATTTACATAACCTACGCGTAGAAGTCAGTAAGTAAGTAAAAAATGGGTATGGCATGACAGGAATATGTAGTTTCTAAAGGTTTCATTTGGTGAGAGCGACATCGAACTAGATGCTAGGTGTTTTCGCAGCACAGTAACGAAATGGCAACTGTATTTAACGGAGTGAATTGTTAAAGAGCAACGTGCTGTTGTGCGTTTTGTGTGTGTGTGTGTGTTTGGAGGGGGAGGGGGGGGTATGGTGCGTGTGTGTAAAAGGCGGGGGGGAGGGGGGGGCAAAGGGGATGCCAACAGAGGAAATTCATAAAGATATGCTTCCTGCTTATGCTGACACATTGTTATCCTGTAAAGCGATGCACTGAAAATAAACCTTAGCGGGAGACATTTCGCGAATGACACAGAAGTTGAATGTGAAGTGAAAAGGTGGTTTAGAAAACAGAGCACAAGCATAGGACAGGTGCATCAATGTTAGTGGAAATTATGTTGGGGAAAAAAAGGGGGGGGGGGGGTTGGGGGGAGTGATCGTATTAAAATAGACGGTTTTCAAATCGTTATCATCATTAGTTTTTGTTTTTTTTAAACAACCATTTGTGACTTACTTATTGACTTTCCCTCCTAAAACGTCTGAAGCCGCAATAATGTCTTCGGTGCCTTCTTAGCGTTGGCCGGCTGTAAACTCCGGCGGAAAGTTTCCTTTGTTCGTCCACTTCTAGATTTTATCCAGAACTTGAGTTTCAGGTGCAATTTTATTTTGCAGATCTGTTTTATTATTTGTATGCCAAGAATATGAGGTCCAATGAGAATGAGAAGCAACAACGAAATTCATAATCTGGATCAGTCACTATTGATCACTGGCACAATGAGGGCTAATAGACTGAAATGGCTGGGACATCTAGCGAAAACCTCAAATGACACAGAGGTAAAAACTATGTACACAAGGGAATAGGTTACGAAGCAGACCAAGAATACGATGAAGAGATGATATCCAGACAGACCAACAAACACTTGGTGTCACCAACTGGAAAGAGAAAAAGCCAACCAGAGAGAGAGAGAGAGAGAGAGAGAGAGAGAGAGAGAGAGAGAGAGAGAGAGAGAGAGAGAGAGAGAGAGAGAGAGAGAGAGAGAGAGGAATGATGGCGGGTGATATTTGCAACAATGAACATCAGGAGCCCGGAAGGCTGAAGGAGAAGAAGGAGTAGCTTTTTCTTTTTGTATGCAGACTGCTGTTTCTAAGCCTCCAAGGCAGATACACTCCGACTTTGACAGAAGATTGTTGGGGGCACCCTATTCCTGTCCCTCTTTCTATGTGGTCCCGGGTACCCATACGGGATTTAACTGTATTCACTCACTCTTCTCGTTTGGAAGGCTCTGTTGGACGAACTTGAAAGCCTCCTGGATGCTTCTGGTGTCTGCTACATTCAAGGACAGGGTCACCAAACGACTAGAGCAGTTCTCCTCCAAGGATCGTCTCCCCTCCTGGCCCAGGCAGGCGGCAAACACAGGGAATCCCATCTTGTCCAGTCTTCTAGAAACAGAATTCCAGAGAAATTTGACTAAAAAGCTCAACAAAATGGGAAAAAGGAAAACGTGCACAAAACAACGCAACGTAACGTTTCGGCCAGGCAGCCTTTTTCAAACACAAGTGGACTACACAAAAGAGGAATGGAGAGTATGTAGATCTCTAAGGGGTGACGTGAGCGACGTTTAAAAAATGTGATGCGGAATAAATGAAATAAAATAAAATAAACGATGGCTAAAAAATAGTCACAATACTAGGAATAACAGAAATGCAAGTGTTAATGATACATAAATGATATTGATAAGAAATAGAATATGGTAATAATATGAAATAAAATAAAATAATTAACATTTAAAATGTAATAAGATTAGAACTATTTAGATGAAGGTATGTTGGATATTGATACCTCTTGGACTAAGAACGCCAAGGCTGTGGATAAGGCGATTTTCCAAAGCGAGGCGGGTAGTATGATCGCCAGAGCAAGATTTTAATGCTGTGACAGATATGTCATCTTTACCGCTGTGGTCAGGGCTATTAAAATGAAGAGGGATTGGTTTGAGTGTCTTCTTGTCGATATCAGAGAGGTGTGTCATTCTGAAATTTGTTTTGTCTCATGAATATGGCGTGAACCAACAACGTATGTTCTGTACACAAGATACATGAATTGCATAGACGGATGACTGAATACAAGAACATGCTCAAATGATTAGTGATTGCCAAGGGTTATCATCACATCACTTCGGTCAGAGCGGCGTCCATGGTTTAGGTGTTGCGAGTCCGACTCGTCATTCCGACCTACTGCGATGGAAACCTACTGCTGGCTGCGTGGATTTTTATCATGGTATGAGGCGTCGAAGGTCGACCCAGCCTGATATGGGTACCATGATGTATATCCTGGGGAAGTAAAAAGGCCTGCGCAATGCAGACCACATTACCCACCTAGTGCCGATTAGTCTGTAAATTTATGGGCGCTCTTCCCATATGCCTGATACGCCTACAGGTGTGAAAAGGGATCTTACCTTTTACATTTTATTTTTTATTCTTTACTCTGGACAGATCCATAGGTTCTTCCACAGAGGAGTTTGATGTTGTTTCATGTATGTTGTCTTACTGCTCCTACTGTAAAGCGTTACAGAGGGGAGTCAGATGTTGTTTCATGTATGTTGTCTTACTGCTCATACTGTAAAGCGTTACAGAGGGGAGTCAGATGTTGTTTCATGTATGTTGTCTTACTGTCTAGCTGTAAAGCTTCACAGAAAGGAGTTTAATGTTGTTTCATGTATGTTGTCTTACTGTCTAACTGTAAAGCATCACAGAGAGGAGTTTGATGTTGTTTCATGTATGATGTCTTACTGTCTAGCTGTAAAGCATCACAGAGAGGAGTTTAATGTTGTTCCATGTATGTTGTCTTATTGCCTAGCTGTAAAGCATCACAGAGAGGAGTTTGATGTTGTTCCATGTATGTTGTCTTACTGTCTAGCTGTAAAGCTTCACAGAAAGGAGTTTAATGTTGTTTCATGTATGTTGTCTTACTGTCTAGCTGTAAAGCTTCACAGAAAGGAGTTTAATGTTGTTTCATGTATGTTGTCTTACTGTCTAGCTGTAAAGCGTTACAGAAAGGAGTTTGATGTTGTTTCATGTATGTTGTCTTACTGTCTAGCTGTAAAGCTTCACAGAAAGGAGTTTAATGTTGTTTCATGTATGTTGTCTTACTGTCTAGCTGTAAAGCGTTACAGAAAGGAGTTTAATGTTGTTTCATGTATGATGTCTTACTGCTCATACTGTAAAGCGTTACAGAGGGGAGTCAGATGTTGTTTCAAGTATGTTGTCTTACTGTCTAGCTGTAAAGCATCACAGAGAGGAGTTTGATGTTGTTTCATGTATGATGTCTTACTGTCTAGCTGTAAAGCATCACAGAGAGGAGTTTAATGTTGTTCCATGTATGTTGTCTTATTGTCTAGCTGTAAAGCATCACAGAGAGGAGTTTAATGTTGTTTCATGTATGTTGTCTTACTGTCTAGCTGTAAAGCATCACAGAGAGGAGTTTGATGTTGTTTCATGTATGTTGTCTTACTGTCTAGCTGTAAAGCATCACAGAGAGGAGTTTGATGTTGTTTCATGTATGTTGTCTTATTGCCTAGCTGTAAAGTGTCACAGAGAGGAGTTTGATGTTGTTTCATGTATGATGTCTAACTGTCTAGCTTTGAAGCGTGACAGAGAGGAGTTTGATGTTGTTTCATGTAGGATGTCTTACTGTCTAGCTGTAAAGCATCACAGAGAGGAGTTTGATGTTGTTTCATGTATGTTGTCTTACTGTCTAGCTGTAAAGCTTCACAGAAAGGAGTTTGATGTTGTTTCATGTAGGATGTCTTACTGTCTAGCTGTAAAGCATCACAGAGAGGAGTTTGATGTTGTTTCATGTAGGATGTCTTACTGTCTAGCTGTAAAGCGAGCATCACAGAGAGGAGTTTGATGTTGTTTCATGTAGGATGTCTTACTGTCTAGCTGTAAAGCGAGCGTCACAGAGAGGAGTTTGATGTTGTTTCATGTAGGATGTCTTACTGTCTAGCTGTAAAGCGAGCATCACAGAGAGGAGTTTGATGTTGTTTCATGTAGGATGTCTTACTGTCTAGCTGTAAAGCGAGCATCACAGAGAGGAGTTTGATGTTGTTTCATGTAGGATGTCTTACTGTCTAGCTGTAAAGCGAGCGTCACAGAGAGGAGTTTGATGTTGTTTCATGTAGGATGTCTTACTGTCTAGCTGTAAAGTGTCACAGAGAGGAGTTTGATGTTGTTTCATGTAGGATGTCTTACTGTCTAGCTGTAAAGCGAGCATCACAGAGAGGAGTTTGATGTTGTTTCATGTAGGATGTCTTACTGTCTAGCTGTAAAGCGAGCGTCACAGAGAGGAGTTTGATGTTGTTTCCTGTGTTTTGGTGTTTGCGTAGCTTGTGGTAATGTCACTTTGTTTCTGTAGTGTCTGTTTTACTTCATACAATCGTCCCTGTCTTAGTCGGCCTGTTGCCTTGTATTCTACTCTTCTCACGAAGTACATTCAAGCTGCCAGCTGACTTTGTTACACTCTGACCAGATCGCTAAACCATTCGATTCTTGAATGTTCTTTGAAAACATTTGCTGGTATGACCTACTACGTGTCTTAGCTCTTTATGGTGACTATCTCTTTTTTGTTTTTTCGCCTCATTTCTTATACATCTCATCTCACATTTTTGTAACATGTAAGAGTGTGTTACAACAGATATAATGACACTTACAGGATTAGCTCTCACTCGCACATGCTGTCACAACAGATATAATGGCACTTTCATTAAATTAATTGTACCGAACCTGCTGAACAAAAGATATAGTACCTACATGGCTAGCTCTCGCCCGAACCCGCTGTCACAGCCAGTGATGAGGACAAACTTGTTGGCGAAGTTGCTGACCTTGGGCAGACGGATGAGCCGGTCGAGCACCAGATATGCCACAACTGTGGCGATGAGGATGACGACGATCCACACCATGTTGGTAGCATGGGCCGAGCCGTTTCACTGCCTGACTACCTGGTGAAAAAGATGGGCTAGAATCACACGTTGAATTATTTCACACCAAATAAACATGTTGACAACGACACTACCGAGATCCCATGCTATAATCGTAGAAGAATTTTCAGATCGCGGGCGGGTCTTGCTAGTCACACTCGCCATCGCCATGGGCTGTGAGTCTCATGCCTCCTCATAGCGCAGTATAACACTGTTGTCTGGTAAGAAGGAAAGGTGCCAACCAAAAAACCAACCAGTTGTGAGGGGCTGGGCAGAAAGTTGAGTTGAGTCAAGAATTAACATCACAAGACTCATGGCATTCTGATGCGTGCTCAGTCCTCATCTTCAGCAGCCAGCACAGAGTTCCAGTACTGATAGCACCGGTCACAATCTGGTTATATGTCCGCCTTGCCTTTTCCTTTGAGCCGGCCAGACCCTCTGGTTACACCCAGGTGCCTCATTCTCTCCAGGCCATAATAATCTTGTTTCTCTACTGATTCCGTTGCTTGTCCCCAAAGGGCCTTGACCACATCTGTAAAGAGAAAGAGACAGCGGACAGAAAGAGACAGCGGACAGAAAGAGTCAGCGGACAGAAAGAGACAGCGGACAGAAAAAGACAGCGGACAGAAAGAGACAGCGGACAGAAAGAGACAGCGGACAGAAAGAGACAGCGGACAGAAAGAAACAGCGGACAGAAAGAGACAGCGAACAGAAAGAGACAGCGAACAGAAAGAGACAGCGGACAGAAAGAAATAGCGGACAGAAAGAGACAGCGGACAGAAAGAGACAGAGGACAAAAAGAGACGTTACACAATTTTACTGCAACAGGTGAAAGAGATTTAGACACAATGACAGTGAAAGCACTGATTAACACGCATAGAGGGAACTGTCTAATTGTGATGGTTCGTTACACAATTCTTATTTTGGCAGGTTAGTTTCAAGCAACAGTTTGGAATTGTTACCAACACTACTACTGCTACCACCATTGTAACCTCAACAGTTACTGCTACTAATGAAAAACTAATACTACTTCTTTTCTACTCCTGGAAAGCCTTGCGGCGTCAGGACGGAAAGAGATCTCTGGAACAGGACCTTCTGTTCGCATCGTATAAAGTACTTGTCAGTGTCTCTGATATTTCTGAGGTCCATCTTATACCTAGTCGAGAAAATGACAAAAGTATGTGCTTTTAACCATAGGAAATAATTTTCAGCATATGTAATTCCACGCCGAGTGATAAAAAAATTTCCGCACCGGGTACTAACATGAACTTGCTATGTCGCTGGTACTATAACTACTACTACTACTACTACTACTACTACTACTACTACTACTACTACTACCACCACTACTACTACTACTACTACTACTACTACTACTACTACTACTACTACTACTACTACTACTACTACTACTACTTCTACTACTACTACTACTACTACTACTACTACTACTACTACTACTACTACTACTACTACTACTGCAGCTGCTTCTACTACTACTACTGCTGCTGCTACTATCGCTACTACTGTTGCTGCTTCTGCTATTGCTGCTGCTGATACTACTACTAATACTACCTCTACAGCTACATTGACAGCTGCGTCTTCTTCTTCTTCTTCTTCTTCTTCTTCTTCTTCTTCTTCTTCTTCTTCTTCTTCTTCTTCTTCTTCTTCTTCTTCTTCTTCTTCTTCTTCTTCTTCTTCTTTTCCTTCTTCTTTTTATTCTTCTTCAGCTTCTTCTTCTTCTTCTTCTTCTTCTTCTTCTTCTTCTTCTTCTTCTTCTTCTTCTTCTGCTTCTGCTGCTTCTTCTTCTTCTGCTTCTTCTTCTTCTTCTTCTTCTTCTTTTTCTTCTTCTTCTTCTTCTTCTTCTTCTTCTTCTTCTTCTTCTTCTTCTTCTTCTTCTTCTTCTTCTTCTTCTTCTTCTTCTTTTTCTGCTTCTTCTTCTTCTGCTTCTGCTTCTGCTTCTGCTTCTTCTTCTTCTTCTTCTTCTTCTTCTTCTTCTTCTTCTTCTTCTTCTTCTTCTTCTTCTTCTTCTTCTTCTTCTTCTTCTTCTTCTTCTTCTTCTTCTCAGTATTATTATTATTTGTAACTGTAAGTTGATGAAAGACGCCGAATGTGAACAAATGGATTCCATCTAGGGTATCCAGAAGACCTCACAGGAGTGAACACAAAAGGAAGGGATGAGCTGCAGCTCTATGTAGCATAAAAATGAACAAACTTTGATGATGATGATGATGATTTACAAATTCACAAAACTACTATTAAAAAACTCACAAAATTAGAGGAAATAAAATCCACAAAGTTAACATATACAAGAAAGTGAAGCACTGTAGAGCTCAGGTCCCTGTTGACACGTTACACTTACTGCAGAAGCGTGTACAGAATCTGGTCTGTGTTTTTATCCAGAGATTGTGTTACATTATACATTCAGCTACCGTACTTGGTCTAGTTAGCAGAGTCGTGATTGGTCGGACAATATTCCGTGTAGGTATCTACTGATTTACTGAACGGAGTGCGGCAAACTCTTTAAGTGGGACGAAGTACAAGATGTCGCCGTTTATATTCTTCTTCTTCTTCGTTTATCTCAGCTGGTGAACCTTCAGCTACTAGAGCAAAAGGGACACACCGGGGTCTGCTAGGTATCGAAACATGATGTCCGCCTCGAGTGCTAGAGGTTCCGGGTTCAATTCCTTTAATGGGCTTGAATTTCTAGTAATCCCCCCTGGTCTCTGGGTAGTGAGATCGGGCCCCCGTGTGCATTGTTGCGCACGTAAAAAAATTCCTTGGAAGTTTGAAATCGTAAAGAGTAGGCAAACGGCGCTGCCCGGGCACAATTGGAAGTTAAAAATCTACCCGAGTATTCCAGGATCCTCACCGATGCTACAGAGCTTGTGCACTGTGCTGAACTTTTTCAGACTCAGACTTAAGTTACAAGAAAGAACGGAGCTCTTATAGTTTACTACCCGTGTGCCATGATTTTGATCCGTTGTTTAAAACCGCAAAACCCCAGCGGACACACCGATTGATCGATCAAAATGCTATGCTGGAACATCACATACATGAGCCTCATTTAAGGGTTTAATAATAATAACAAAGGAATAGCAAATAAATTAGATATTATATTTGAAACAGTATGAAATGTATAACCAAATATCTTAAAGGAGTGTTTCTCAGTCTTTTCTTGGTCTCGGCCCCTTTTATCAATTAAAATTGTTCCACGGCGCCCTAACCTAAGTAAAAGTATGACTATTCGTGTCTTGGTTAAATCAATTATGAAGCTTTTATATTATTTCGCAGCGCCCTTGTGAAGAAATCGCGGCCCCCCGGGGCGCCGCGACGCACAGTTTGGGAATCACTGTCTTAAAGGATCTTCTATACATGGTTACGCGAGTCGCTGTTGCTTTGCATGGTTACACATTTTTAAGAGCCCTAAAGCCCCGCTCCAACCCCTCCCCCAGCCTCGAACTAAATATTGGGTCCCTTAAGTTGTTGCAACCACACCCCCTTCCTCCTCCCGAGGATCTGACGCCCCTGTGTACAAAACGACACAATGGTCAAGCCTGCAAATATGGCGCCAGCACTCGAACGGATACTCACTGTTGGGATTCGCAAGATGTGGTGGTGCATGATCGCCCCCGTCAGTTGACAAGGCACTTACAGATAGTGATATAACTTCTAACATGATCTTTTCCAGGGGGAAACAAGGTGCCGGTTCTCACCACAAGCTGTCTGTAAAAGGTGCCGGTACTCACCACAAGCTGTCTGTAAAAGGTGCCGGTACTCACCACAATGATGCCTATGAAAGACGCAGTTATTGCGTATGGTATCGTACTGCTCGAAAGGGGAAACAGTCCTTGCTGTAACAACCACAAACCAATAAATGTTATCTGAACACAAAACTGCTGCCTTCCGCTGGCTTGAGAATCAGCAGTACACACATGCCGTGATTGCAACTGACTCGCAGAGCATGTTGAGAAGGATGGAGACAGGCATGCTCTGTGCAGAGTGGCAAGCATCAATTCAGAGGTCCCAGGTAATTAGCGTCCTTTGGATATTTTCTCCAGGCCATGCCGGTGTGTTGGGAAATGAGCAGACAGACAGACTGGCCTGCTCTGCACCGCTTAGTGGTGAATGGATGTATGACAAGCTAGATATTTTGAGGGCCCTTTAGGAGCGAGTGAACAGTGCGGAGGCACAGATAGATCATTACGGTCTGAGGAAAATGGCAGTGTGAGGAGTTACAAGGGGATATGGCCTTCCCTCGACACTCAGGGGAAAGGCGAGACAGATGTACAAGCAGACAGTTACTGGTCCCATCGGAATTGAAACCCTTTGCTTACTGCTGACGATGGGGACTGAGCACTTATTGGAGTGTCCCGAGTGCTGTGATGTAGATTCTTAATTCAACATTCAAAACTGTACCGTTTGACTGCATTCGTCGTCGTCATCTTATTTGTTCACCGTCTGTAAGCTCTAGCGAAGTCTTCGTTTTTCGTCCGTTTGGACTTTGGCTTTGTGCCAAGGCTTCAGTATTGCGAGTACATCCGTTTTACTAGCTTATTTGTGTGCAGTTGGTAGTTCTTTGCCGCTCGGGCAAATGCACTCGGGCTTCGAAAAAAGCTCCTCGCTAGTCGACTACCACGACACGCTTGTTGATGAAGCAGTGGGCCCTATTATTGGGGCCCCTGAACCGACACGGGGAGGACTGCATTCAACCTGTCAGTGTTGGTTTGGAATGTTTGTTGTAGACATACATGCACTACTGATAGCTACGATACCAAGTGACCTTCAGTCTGATAGCAACGATACCAAGTGACCTTCCGTGAACTTTTGAACTGTGTCCTTTGTTTTCAAAAGACTTTGCTCCCCTTTTCGTAGAGTGGGAGTTGTACGTTCTTTGTTTGTTTGTTTCTTTCCTTCTTCCTTTCTGTTCTTTCCCTTTGTCTTGCTTACTTTCTTGCTTCTTTTGTCTGTTTGTTTGTTTC